GTCAAAACAAGGCTTCATTGAAATCAGTGAAAGTCTTAGATTTTTCATTGAAATCAAATCTACCCTTTGATTTCAGGTACTTATTCTCTAAGACTAACCCTTCGATTGAACCCATTGGGTATTGTGAACCACCGAGATTCTCTCCCTTTGGACCTGAATAGCTCGACCGGAAATGGACTGGCACTTATGCTTTGGCTGAAGAAGCAGTTGATTTGCTATAGGTAGGAGAACAATGACGCGAGGTTCTTGGTGGACCACTCTCCGAAGAAGAAGTTGTTGTGCTTGTGGAATGGTTTCGTCATAATGATTGTTCTCAACAGATTAATTTGGGTACTCTATGTCTCTCTCTCTCCTCTATATTCCCTCTCTCTCTCTATATATATGTATATATATCACTCACTCATCAGATTTGAGAGTGAGTGCTATAGTGTAATGGTAATCTCAAACACACACAGATCGATTGACTGTGTATTTTTGGTGTTTGATTTGGCATTTTGTTGAGGATCTGGGAGAGAAGAAAAAAAAAATGGGCTTGTGAAATCAACAGATAGATAGAGAAAGAGATGAGGAAGAGAGAGAGGAAATACAGCGGAGAGAGAGAGAGAGAAAGAGAGAGAGGAAGTGCTGCTTTGCCATTTCTTCTCTCTAGGGTTTCGGAGAGAATGAGGGGAAGTGCTGCTCTGTAGTAGAGGAGGGGAGACAAAGAGTCAAATTTCTCTGATACATGTTTAGGGACCTTAGACATCAAAAAATAATTTTGTAGATCTCTTCCATTACGAAAAGTGGGAAAGGAACCCTAGACTAATTTTCCTTTGTTTCTTTCATTGGGCTGGTTTAGTACAACTAAAATTTAATAATAAGAAAGCATCTCTCTCCGACTTTCAACTAATTAACTTTTTTTATTTTTCTTTATTATTTAAGTTATTTCTATCTAATAAATAATAAACAGAAGATACACTAAATAATTTAAGACAAATTTTTTAAAAAATAATATATAAATAAGGTAATTATTGATAAAACTGAAAATTAAATATTGAAAGTTGAATATTTAATTTTTTAAGTTGAAAAGTTATTTAATATGTATAATATTAAAGTTGAAAATTACTATTTTTTAATTTTATATTGTGATAGTGAATTGATTGTGGTGGTAGAGGCAACAATGGTGCCTATAACCCAATGGCAATGGTGATTGAGATAAATATAAAGTAGTTGTGAGTGCTCATTTGGGAAGTTGAGGTTTGAGACTTTTTGGCTAAAATAGTCACACACAAAAAAAGAAAAAAAAGGTTTTTTAGTCCAATAATACAAAACATCATGTCCAACTCATAATCATTACATTCTTTCTCTCACAAAAGTCAAGAAAGCCAAAAAGCTCATCCCAAACGAGACTTTTTAGCCCTAGACTAAAATAGCAAAAAAATCAAAAAGCCAACCCATTTCCCAAACGAACAGTGAGTGTGCTGACGGTGGAGTGATAATGGTTATGGAAGTGAATGATTATAGTAGTTTTTTATGGTGACGGTAATATGGTATTAAAATGATAGTGATGTTTATAAAACAATGACAATAATGATGAAGGTGATGGTAGTTGTGGAAGGTTGGTGGTAGTATCAATGGCGATAATGGTAGTAGTAGTGGTGATGGCGGCGATTGTGAGGTTATAATTGTGTACGTTGATACTTATGTATAAGTATTTATAAATTTAGTCAAAATTAAATAAATTTTTTATCATTTGCAATTTTTTTTAAAAAAATTTTAACCTATATTTTAATAGCTACTTAAATTTTTTTTTGAACGAATTATCAATTGGTTTAATTAATTTTCACTTCATACATTTAATTTTAAGTATGCTGAATTAGATTATTAAATTGAGTAATGTCAGAGATATCAAATTTTCTACCAAATAAATGACTAAATATCTTACATAAGTATGGGATCCGCAATTTTGTGGACCTCACAACCATATAAGACATTTGATCATTTATTTGGTAATATATAGTATAGATTAAAGTGTAATATTTTGATAATAATCATATGTGTTGGACTTTCAAGAAATTCATATGTGTTGTACTTTTCAAGGAATTTTTTTTATGATTGTTCTTAATGTATTAAAGTGTTATTATGAGGGATAATAATCGTGTGTGTTGGGACTTTTCAAGGAATTTATATGTGTTGGACTTTTTAAAGAATTTTTTTTATACTTAGGGGTTAAGAGAAGTTAATAAATGCTAAGGTTTTTTTTTTTTTAAATAAAAAATCAAGAAATTTAGATTGGGATATTGGAGCTCCCATAAGACTTAGGGGGTTAGAAACCCCATTTTTCTTAATATATATAGATAAATAGATAGATAGATAGATATATCTTTTTATTTTTATTTTTATTTTTATTTTTGTGTGGTTTCTATTCGGGTATTTTTTTTTCAATTTATTTAAGATGGAGTTGTGGGTATCTTTTTTTTTCAATTTAATTTATCTGTGGTTTCCATTTGTTTCTAATTATTATTATTTAGGTAAGTTATGATGTGAGTTAGGTATGTGATAGACATGTGAGTTTTATTGATTTAAAGTTTATTTAGATAAACTTTTAATAAAAAAAAATTTAGTTTTTTAGTTTTTTTTGTTATGTTATAATATAATATATAAAATATAGGTAGATATCTACAACTTTAATAAAAAATATTATCTGATTTTTTTGGGAAGAGAAAAATAATGCAAGCTTTAATATTTTTTTTTGAAAATTTGTGAGAGAGATTAGGAGGGAGAGATTATGAAATATTTTTGTTATTAAATAAATAAATCAGTCAATAGTTTTTTTTAATCTATTTTGTAAATTAAAAATCAATAATTTTGGAAAATTGATTAATTTTTCCCATTAAGTGATTTTAAATTTTGATAGATATACATAAAAAAAATACATAATTATATTATTAAATCATAATTCAAATTTAGATGTTATATCGTTTTGAGATTTATAGCTAAATTCTTATCTTTTTTATTTTTATTTTTGTGTGTAACTATAGTGTATAGGAGAAATTAAAAATGATGTTGCAATAATTATGAGAGAAGTGAAAAGGGATTATGGGTTGGGAGATGTCAATAAATGTTGAGGTTGGATTGGGAGAAGTCAATAAATGCTGAGGTTTTTTTTTTAAATTAAAAAATTAGAAAATTAAGATTAAGAAATTGGAACTCCCACATGCCTTGGGATTAAAAATTCCCTTTTGCTTAATATATAGTATAGTTTAAAGTGTAATATTTTGATAATAATCATATGTGTTGGACTTTCAAGAAATTCATAAGTGTCGGACTTTTCAAGGAATTTTTTTTATGATTGTTCTTAATGTATTAAAGTGTTATTATGAGGGATAATAATCGTGTGTGTTGGGACTTTTCAAGGAATTTATATGTGTTGGACTTTTTAAAGAATTTTTTTTATACTTGGGGGTTAAGAGGGTTGGTTTGGCAAGGGCTCATTGGGCTTTTTTGGCTCAATGAGCCATAAAAGACAGAATAGGCTCATGAGCCACAACAGACAAAACATCCCATCCAACCCCATAGTCATTACACTCTTCTCTCACAAAAAAATCAAAAAAGCCAAAAAGCCAAAAGCCCTTCCCAAACTAAGGGCAAGTTTGGGAAGATCCAAAAAATCCAAAAAGCCAAAAAGTTACTCAAAAAGCTAAAAAGTTAACACTATTCACCAAAAGTCAACAATTACGGCTGCACAACTCCCAATTCAACTCTCAATTCAAATTTTTTCCTACAAATCAATTTTTACAATTTTTTATTACACATTTTTCAATAAAAAGTCAAAAAATTAACCCAAACATCCATTATTTCAACCTCAATTTTTTAGTCCAAAAAGACAAAAAGTGCACTTTTTTAGTCTTCCCAAACTTGGCCTAAGCTTTTGAGCCTAGGCTCATATAGTCAAAAAAGCCAAAAAGCCGAAAAGCCAACCCACTTCCCAAACGGAGGCTTAAATGCTAAGGTTTTTTTTTTAAAAAAAAATAAAAAATCAAGAAATTTAGATTGGGATATTGGAGCTCCCATAAGACTTGGGGGGTTAGAAACCCCATTTTTCTTAATATAGATAGATAGATAGATAGATAGATAGATATATCTTTTTATTTTTATTTTTATTTTTGTGTGGTTTCTATTCGGGTATTTTTTTTTCAATTTATTTAAGATGAAGTTGTGGGTATCTTTTTTTTAAAATTTAATTTATCTGTGGTTTCTATTTTTTTCTAATTATTATTATTTAGGTAAGTTATGATGTGAATTAAATATGTGATAGACATGTGAGTTTTATTGATTTAAAGTTTATTTAGATAAACTTTAAAAAAAAAAATTAGTTTTTTAGTTTTTTTTGTTATGTTATAACATAATATATAAAATATAGGTAGATATCTACAACTTTAATAAAAAAATATTATCTGATTTTTTGGGAAAGAGAAAAGAATGCAAGTTTTAATATTTTTTTTTGAAAATTTGTGAGACAGATTAGGATGGAGAGATTATAAAATATTTTTGTTATTAAATAAATAAATCAGTCAATAGTTTTTTTTAATCTATTTTGTAAATTAAAAATCAATAATTTTGAAAAATTAATTAATTTTTCCCATTAAGTGATTTTAAATTTTGATAGATATACATAAAAAAAATACATAATTATATTAATAAATCATAATTCAAATTTAGATGTTATATCGTTTTGAGATTTATAGCTAAATTTTTATCTTCTTTTTTGTTTTTATTTTTGTGTGTAATTATAGTGTATAGGAGAAATTAAAAATGGTGTTGCAATAATTATGAGAGAAGTCAAAAGGGATTGTGGGTTGGGAGATGTCAATAAATATTGAGATTGAATTGGAAAAAATTAATAAATACTGAGATTTTTTTTTTAAATTAAAAAATTAAAATTAAGAAATTTGAGTTTCCATAGGTCTTTGGATTAAAAAATCACTTTTACTTAATATAGTGTATAGATAGAAGAGTGAGAATATAACACTCCCAATTATCATCCATCATTTAAAATATTTTTTGGGTTTCCAAAACTTCAAATTTTCAATCTAAAACCAAACTACACGATAAAATGAAATGAATCAATCAACATCTTGGATTGGGTTTTTCTGATCATCATCAAATCGTCACTTGCTTTCTGTTTCTTTTGAAGAATCAAATGGCAACAAAAATTGGTTCATTCAGACACAGCTTCGCAGAGAGGAGCAAAGAAAGGCTTCTCTCTCGAAAAGGCTACTCAGAGCTCGGCTACGGAAGCTCTGATGGCGACGAAGAAAAAGTTCGGTTCCAGTGCTTCCATTCGATCATCGAAGGGATTAGAAGTTTCTGGAATGGTTCCAAAGACACTGCAATCAAGGTCTATGAAATGGGTCGATCTGATCCACAGAAAGTTTTCTTTGCAGCCAAGATGGGTCTAGCTCTAGCACTCGTATCTCTGCTCATCTTCTTCAAAGAACCGCTTCAGAGTGCTAGCCAATACTCTGTTTGGGCAATCCTCACTGTGGTTGTGGTTTTTGAATACAGTGTTGGTAGGTACTATTTTAGTATCAATCACACCACCACATCTTTCACTTCCAAATCAATTTTGTTTGTATTGTTGTCAATGCTGGGACTGAATTCATACACCAGATTTGTGGGTGATTTCGAGTAGTTTTGTGTTTGAAACCCGAACGAGCTGTAAGTCAGTGGTAATTTGTGGGTGATTATTGTATGAGATACTTGATTTGTGGGTGGGTATCAGATTAGTCTCGTTTTTGAAACCCAGGTTAAATTGATACACATGATTTGTGGGTGGGTGATTACTCTGAGATTTTGTATGACATTAGGCCTTTGACATGAATTAGTTTAATAATTTTTTACTTTTTTCGAAAAGATTTGTGGGTGGGTGATTACTCTATGAGATTTTGTATGACATTAGGCCTTTGAAATATATTATTTTAATAATTTTTTATTTTTTACGAAAAAAATGTGTTAGGCCTTTGAAATATATTATTTTAATAATTTTTTATTTTTTACCAAAAAAATGTGTAGAAAAATAAAAATTTAATGATTAGTCTCACCCTTCAAACCCAAACCTGGGCTAAATTGATACACATGGTTTGCGGATGATTATTTGAGATTAGTCTCGCCGTTGAAACGCGAGCTGCGAGTAGAGACAATGGCCACCCACAGCACAGGTAGCTTGGTGGTTGAGCTCGGTCAAAGCCTGGGCTAAATCGATACACATGATTAATGGGTGTTTAAGGGTTGGTTTGGGAAGTGTGTTGGCTTTTTGAATTTTTGGCTATTTTAGTCTGGGCTAAAAAGCTTAGTTTGGGAATGATTTTTTGATTTTTTGGCTTTTTTGATTTTTTTTGTGAGAGAAGAGTGTAATAATTATGGAATAGATGTGATGTTTTGTTTTTGTGGCTAAAATAGCCTATTTTGTCTTTTGTGACTAAAATAGCCAAAAAAGTCCCATATTCTTTTTCCCAAACTGTGCTAAGTGTTTTTTATTAGACTAGTCTTGCCTCTGAAACCCGTGCTGCGAGTAGGGGCCATGGCCACCCACCGCACGGTTTGGTCAATAGTTGAGCACAGTCAAAGCCCCGTGCTAAATTGATACACTTGATTTGTGAGTGATTATGTGTATCTAATGAGAATAATCTCACATTTGAAATCCCGAGTTGCGAGTAGGGGCGATGGACACATACCATTAAACAAACGCTGTCTAATTCAGTTCTGATCAGATTAGTAGTTTCAATTGTGTATTTCACTATTGCAGGTGCTACCCTTAACAAGGGATTTAATAGGGCATTGGGAACATTATCTGCTGGAGGGCTTGCTATGGGGCTTGCAGAGCTCTTTCTAATGGCTGGGAAGATGACAGAAGTTTATATTGTCATTAGTATTTTTATCGCAGGTTAGAGTTTCATGATTTTATTGGTTCATATCGTATTGACTGATTTGTATTGGAATTTTGAGCCTCTGAGTCGGATATTTTGTGCCCGTATCAGCTCAGCTGATACACGCTGTTTTTGTATCTGTATCACCCGATATGTATTGATATATTTTTTAATCAATCTTTTGTCAATACTATTTACAAAAAAACAAAATGTCAATACTATTTGAAGGTCTCTTTTATTACTTTTAATAGTAATTCATTTTATTAATAGGGAAAAATAAAAGATAAGATATTTTGTACTCTATTTATCTAAGTAAAACATGATTTTAAATGTCACGATATTGATTAAAATGTTGCAATTAAGTTTAAGAGTCAAAATATGTCTATCATTGAGTTTTATGGCATTTGTTGATGATTTTAAAAGAAAAATCACAATTCCTATTAGTAACTGTTACCACGATTTTGAACCTTGATACATATCTTGCCCCATATAGCTCCCAATTTTATTTTATTTTTTTAGATTGGCATGATAAATGTTTTTTTTTTTTTTTTGATGTCTGTTTGTTTTGGTTTTAGGATTTTGTGCTAGTTATGCCAAATTGTACCCGCCAATGAAGCCATACGAGTATGGGTTTCGTGTATTCTTGTTGACGTATTGTATTGTAATGGTGTCTGCGAGTTCATCCTCAGAGCCATTCACGACGGCTTTCTATCGGTTATTGCTTATTGCTGTTGGTGCGGCCGTTGCTTTGATCATCAACACATGTTTTTTCCCAATTTGGGCAGGTGAAGACCTACACAAATCTGTGGTGAAAAATTTTAAAGGTGTTGCCAGTTCTTTGGAAGGTTAGACTAAGCTTGACTATACTAAGAGATTTAAAATGTATGTAAATTGTCTTTTTTTCATGATTCTCTAATATGATATGGAGGTTTTGTCTAGGTTGTGTGAATGGGTACCTTCAATGTGTTGAATATGTGAGGGTCCCTTCAAAGATCCTCACATACCAGGCTTCTGATGACCCGGTGTACAATGGCTACAGATCGGCCGTGCAATCTTCAACCAAAGAGGAATCCCTTGTATGCTCCATCATGTTGTACTATTTGTCCACTTCAATGTGTTTGTAAAGACCGGAGCAGTTTGTTTTATGCCATTTCTTGTTTATGCAGCTAGAGTTTGCGATATGGGAACCACCTCATGGCCCCTATAGAACATTTAGTTATCCTTGGAGAAACTATGTCAAAGTAGGCGGTGCATTGAGGCATTGTGCTTTCATGGTAATGGCAATGCATGGTTGTATGCTATCTGAAATACAGGTAAATATATACACATTCTATTCTCATATATTACCATGTCATGTTGAAGCTCGCTACACTTGAGATGTTTATATTTCTTGAGATCTTAGATGTTAATGCTCTATTTGTTTTGTTGGAATGAGATGGAATGGAATGGCGATTTCTTAGACTTTCTTATGGAATGATCATTATCTTAATATGGTAAAAGATAATTCTATTTATAATGCATTTGTCATTATTTCTTCAGTCTAACTAAACATGGGAATGAATATTTTAATGGAATGATAATTCCATTCCTCTTTATTCCAGTGAACCAAACACTACCTAATAGTTTGCAATTATATAGTTTTGTAGCTTTCCCTTTCTTGTTTGGTTGACACGAAACTTTTGAAGAAAAGTATTTGTCAAATGTCCATCAATTAGTGATGGATATATCAGGATACAATTGCTTGGATAAGTTAATTTTAGTTGCTACAAAAAATTTAGGGGTTTTAATTCTAGTTTTTTTACTTTGGCTCCTTCTGGTGGAAGTAAGCAATAAATCCTTTCTTTTGTGTGAAAGGGGTCCTACCACACTAATAGGAAAATAAAAGGAAAGGGGAAAGTGAAATGAAATAGAAGGTTTTTTTTTTTTTCCCAGACAGCCAATTTAAAAAATTACGATGATTTATGAAGATAATCACATGCTTCCTTTTTCTTTTTTTTTGTTGTGCAATTTGCATTTGTAGGCACCGCCAGAAAAGAGACGGGTTTTTGATAGTGAGCTTCAAAGGGTAGGTACCGAAGGAGCTAAAGTATTACGAGAACTTGGAAACAAGGTAGAAAAGATGGAGAAACTAAGCCCCGTAGACTTGCTTCAAGAAGTGCACGATGCAGCTGAAGAGTTGCAAATGAAGATAGACCAAAAATCCTATCTTCTAGTCAATTCAGAGAGCTGGGAATCTGGAGAACTTCCCAAAGAATATGAAGAAGCTCAGAATTCTTTTGATGTGAACACTAATGAAGACAGGGTCTTGGTGATCAAGTCCCTCAGCGAAACAGGACTATATGTCAGATCAGTCCCCTTGTTGAGAACGTGGGAGACTCCTAGCCCAAACATGGGAATCAATTCTTCCCTTTCAGAATTGGCTTCCTCAGAAAATTTGTTTAGGAGAGAGACAGCGTGGCCATCGCAAATCTCACTTACTACCGATGTGGTGTTTAATGAGAAAGAAGTGAAAACATACGAAAGTGCGAGCTCATTGTCATTGGCAACATTTGCTTCACTTTTGATTGAGTTTGTTGCGAGGCTTCAAAATCTTGTGGATTCATTCAACGAGCTTAGTGTGACGGCAAATTTTAAGGAACCAGTGGATATTGCACCGGGAGAGAAAGAGCTGCTTGGATTTTGGACCAGACTTGTTAAGTGTTTTTGGTTCAATGATTGACACATTGGTTATATATTCAATAATTCAAGAGATAAGTTTGATCCAATGATTGTGTTCATCTAACATTTTCTTACATTACTTAAAATACTGAAATGCAATGGCAACTGAGGACTGTGTGAGGCACTATGGAGTGTGATAGTAGTGTACACCGAGCCATGTTTGTTGCGAAACTTTGATAAATTTCTCACATTTACAACTTGTAACCCTAGCTATATATATGTATTTTAGCAATGGGGCAACTCTGTTGTGTCTTGTAATTCGTTCTTTTACATAGTGAAATAGCCGCAACTACTGTGGATGTAACCCATTTATCAGTAAACCACATAAATATTGTATTGTGTGCTTGATATCTAATTTATTTATTTATTATTTATTTTGTGACTTTGTATTGAGTAGATCTCATGCTAGTGTTCTGAAATTCTTTGAGAGACTGAAGGAGTGCATCCACTGAAGAGGGTATCAGTATTCTCTCTTCAAATTGTTTGATATGATTTGTTTGGAAGGAAACAAATTAAGGTGGGTGGGAACTGCAAAGCCCAAATTTCTGAGGCTTCTGTAATCCATAAAATGTATAGATGATCAAAATAAAACTTTAATACTAAATGGAGGTGTCTGCTGCAACTTGGGTAACAAATCTTCATTTTTAAATATTTGAATATAGAATTTGTGGATAAAAAAGAAACGGGAAAAGAAAAATCAATGAAATAAAAACTTATATATATATATATATATATATTTCTTTCTCTCCATAAATTTATGATCTAAATACATGGTAACCAACTAAAATAAAATAAAATCTATGGAACCTCGGTGTTGGGCAAAATTATCTCTTCTTGTGGAAAAGCTTACTTGAGGAAATGGATTCCAGTTGATCTATACTATCCTCAATGTAAGGATGAGTTTAATTACGCTTATCATCTTTGTAATTTTATTAAAATTTTTACTTTAGTCCCTTTTTTTTAATTGTACCAATCAACTCTTTACACGTTAAGTTAAATTGCAATCATACCTTTTCATCCATCTATTATTAACAAAGTGGAAAAACTTGTCATTTGAAATATATGTGGCATTTTTATTGTCTCATTAATACCATTATTATGATGTCCAAATCCTTTAAAGCTAAGGTCTCGTTTGGAAACAGGCTAATTTAGTAACTTTTTTGCTATTTGGCTAAAATATGAGCTAAAAAAAACTAGTGTGTTTGGGATGACTTTTTGGCTTTTTACGAAAAGATGTGCAAAAAGTAGAGAGAAAAGAGAATCTTTGACTTTTTAGTATGGATTGTTGGCTTTTTGGCTAATTTAGTAACTTTTTGGTTTTTTGACTAAAAGGGAGGGTTCCCAAACGAGGCCAGTACATTAATTGATAATTTTTGTCCCTTTGTGTTGTCTCCGTCATTGTTGAACCTTTTGAGTCTGGTGTTATTATTTATTTCTTCTTGTGGTTGTTTTGGTAGGTACATCTTAGTGTGTTTCGAGATGTCATTTGTGCGTTTGGGTGTAAGAGAGAAACTGGGAAGGTTGGTTAGTGTTTTGTAATTTCTTTGTTTTACCTTCAGGTTGAGACCGCTTGAGTGGTCTTTTAGTCGTTCAAGCAGTGAAATCGACCTTTTAGTATCTCGCTTTGCAGTCTGAACTTTTAGGAGCATACTTTCTTCGCTCAAGCAAATCTTTCATTGCTCGAGCAATCTTTTACAGAAGGGAGTGGAGATTTTGGAAGTGGGTATTTTTCGCTCAATTGATCACTCAAGCAGTCTCTCAAATTTGAATTGTTCGCTCAAGTGCAAGTTTGGTCGCTCAAGCTTGTCCACAGTGTGCTCTGAAAATTGTGTCAAATCATTTCAAAAGTTGAGCCATTGTAGACACCCCATTTTTGACCGTCCTCAAGACTTAGACGTCACCGCTTGAGCACTCGGTGATCATCCGTGTTTGTGTTCGTCCTGAGTTCCTGGAGGTCTCGGCCACGCGCGCCGTACCTCAGGATCTTTTGACTCGACTGTTTTGTGTCTGGTTTTGCACCAAATACTTGTGTTTTGCCTGTGAGGGACAGGGGATGGCTTGTTGGCCATCCCCACACATCACCGGCCATGGCTTGAGGCCACCAGCCATTAGTTTGTTGCCACCGGCCAAATGTTTGGTCGACCGGCACTTTTTGTGGCCGGCCGACCATCTATTTTGGTCAAATTGCATTTTTTGCCGGCCGACTACTGTTCATCTGCTTTTATAGATATTTTTGTGTCAGCTGTGATAGCTAGCACCCACCTTTGCTCCCCTCCATACACGTGTATGGAGGGATTTCAACCTTGTTAGCTTGCCTTGGAAGCTTTACAAGGTTGAATCTTCTATAAGAGGAAGCTTTTTCTCCCTCTTTGAGGAGAGATAAGATTTTTTCCAGAGCTTTGAGTTCTAGGGTTAGGGTTTGCATATCCTCCATCTCTATATCTCTCTCTCTCTTGTGTGTTAGTGTGTGTTTTGTCTTACTTTTGCACAAAAACACCTAGTCTTACACTTTTTCTTGGTTGCTAAGGGGCCAGAGGTCTGTTCTTGGTGTTCTTGGGTGGTTTTGAGCTCAAAGAAGCAGCTAGTCCACCATTTGTGAAGAGGGTCTTCAAGGGTAATATTCTTGCTTTTTTACCCCATTTTTGCATAGTTTTTTTAACTACCTTGCAACTGTTTTTAGACTTGGTGTATAACATATAAAAGTCTTGTTTTTGTCTACTCTAAATAGTTGTTTAAGAGTGTTTTGAGCTTTGAGGTTGTTTGACCCCTCTTAAGCCTTGTTAGGCTCCATTTTTGTGCATTTTTGGTGAGCTCCGGGACCATCATATTTGGGCCTCCTCACCACTGAAATCTTAAGGGATTTCAGTGGTGAGGATGGTGCCTTGAGGTCCTAAGAAGGAGAGGGCTACCCTCTCTCCTTGTTGTCCTTGAAAAGGACCATTTTTGCATCATGTGTAAGCACCTAATTTAGGTTCATGTTGGCCATGTCCTAACTGATTTTTGTGCTTATTATGTCATAATATAGCTCTGTTTTTACTTGGTTTAGACACATCTTGCATGCCTTGCATACATGTCTTGTAATGCCATGTTTAGGCCTTAACATGCTTTAGGTGTTGACCCTTGTTCTAGCATAATTTTGGCCAAGCTTTGTGAAACTTTTGTGTATGTTTCAGTGTGCTTTAGCTCTGTTTTCAGTCGCTTTGGTCATGCTTAACATATTTTGTATAGTTTCTTTGCATTCTAGCTTATAGGCTTTGAATATGTGAGTATGTGGCATGCTTTACTTGCCTTGTTCCAGTGGTTTGGCACCACTTCGAGCATCATCTCAGTCCTCATAGCATGCTTGTATGCTCACATTTGATGCCCCTTTAATGCTTTATAAGGTTGTTATCTTATGCCCCTTACTTAGGCCCTTGTGTACACTTGCATATTTAGGCCACTTAGATGCCATCTAGGTGCGCCCTTAGCATTGCTTAGGTCTGCCTTGGACCTGTTTTAATCCCTCTTAGCCTTGTGAAGCTTGGTTGACTTAGCCATGGTTTAAGCCTCATTGGCTTGCCTTAAGTGCTTGGATCATTATTGCATGCTTTGCTTGTTTTGATTATTTGGTTTGGCACCTCTCTTTCATGATTTTCAGAGCTTACATTGCATGCTAATTGTCCATGATCATCTCTTTTAAGTGTGCTTAAAAGTTGCCTTTTGATACTTAGGAAGTGGATCATGTATGCATGCATGCTTGTATGTGCATTTGGCCCCATTTCCATAGTTTATGGCCACTGTTTTAGGCTTGTTTGAGGGCTGCCTAAATTAGTTTAAGTCCATCCTTCATGTGTTATAGCATGCTTGCCTCGTGCATTGTTGGATACTTGGCCTATTACATGTTGTTGCTTGCTTGAAATCATGATGCATTTGGCATGTATTTTATTGGTCAAGTTGCTTTGCATTGTTCCTATGCTTAGTCCACTTTACATGTTGTTGCATGTTTGCCACTAGCATAGTTGTCACATGCCTTGCATGCTCATTTTGCATACTTAGCCTCCACGTCTAGGTTGCATTCCATTTGCATGCATGATTCACCTCTTGGGTTGAGTATGATAGAGGTCGAGCCCCTTTGTTTGATTATGTGCATTGCATTCCATATCAAAATGCATACTTGGTTTCTTAGGCCATCACGCATCGAAATGCGCGATTGATGGTCCGAGAATCGAAACCCATCCTCCTTTGAGTCATGAATATGATAAGGAGTGTGGTTGGTGCATACATTGCTTAAAATGCATTGCCATGCTATGTTTTGTCCTCTGCTGCTGTCAAAAACAGATTCTGCAGGAAGCTTTGGCCGGCCGGCCATCTCCAGTACCGACCGGCCATCCATCAATGGCCGATAGCTTGAACAAGTGGCCGGTGATCATTCCCTTTGGCCGGTGACCAATTCCATTAGCCGGTGGTGTTCCACAGCACTCAAAGAAGCAACCCTGGGACTTGTACAGTTTTCAGAGGAGGATAACAGTCAAAGCAGAGGCAACTTGTGCATGGCAATGGCTTTCCGAGCGGAGCTGAACACGCATTGCATTGGGCCCTCTTCCCGAGGCTGTTTATTGTTTTATTAGATTAATTAATTTGATAACTAGTTTAATTGGTCTGTAATATTTAATTAGCTTGTAGGTTAGCTAATTGTATTATTCTTTCGGCCCCTCCGAGCGAGGGCAAATTTGTAATAAGTGTGGGTGCGTGTGTGTATGTCTTCTAACCCCCACTTCTTTCTCCCTTTTACTTACCTGCTTTTGATGGTTAGTATTAGGGCATGTTTAATTTAGCATACCTTATGCTATGCATGCGTGCATCATTCATCAGTATTGCATGCACCGGGCTCGGCGCATCATACTAACTGCATAAGTATTTCAAATCTAACTTGAATACATGCTACTTGTGCATTTTCACATGCCATGTTTAGGTTAGCCGAGCCTATTCTAGCAACACTTTGTATGCGATGCATTAGGCACTTAGTTGCATCTTGTATGTGTTGCATTAGCCATCTTAACATGAGCTAGGATCATGCATTGATTACTAACTAGCTTTTGTTTTAGCTCGGAGTACTAGGTAAGTTTTTATGCTTTAGCATCTTGCATGAGTGTGAGTGTTCGCCATGACAGCATGCTTACCATGAGGCTATGTGCTTACGTGTTATAACTGCCTGAATGCCTGTGGGTGAAGGTTGGGTTACTTAAATTGGAACAATGCATTGGATGCGAATTTTAAACCCACTTGAGAGTGGCAAAACCATATTTTCTAAAGCCCACTTGAGGGTGGCAAAACCTGCATTTTAGCCTACTTGCGAGTAGCAAACCATTTTCAAAACAAACATGCAAT